ATAGAAAGACTTGTATCCGCCCGGCCACGCACCGCCCTTCCCTAACTTAGGGTTAGGGTTTACCCTAGTTAGGGTTTCCCCCAATTAGGGTTTTGGGGTTTYGCGCGCGACCGCACGCCACCACGTCCGACTTCTCGAGGCAGAAAATTTTCCGGCGGTTTGTAGTCAGTTAAAAGCCGGGCTCCAACGGATCACTTTTTGCTGACTTCTGTTTCCCTTTTATTTTTATMAAAATATAAAGAAAATCACTAATCCCTCTTAATTTTTCCCTCTTTTCCTGTTTGTTGGCGGTCACCACTCGTCATAACGGAGTCCGTTTTCCTCGACTAAGGTCTCAAAATGTGGGGAAAAATACAAGGACCAACTTTGGTCCGAGCGGGGTTCATCTAATTTCGCTTCTTTTCTTCGTAATTAAAATAAAAGGAAATTGATAATTTTCGGAATTTTAATTAAAAAATTACATAAAATTTCATATCTCCTTTTCTGGCCATTAAAATTTTTCTAAAAATGTCTCAAAACATTCTCCTCGACAAGAGGTTGAAGTTTGCCCCCAATGCGCCTCGCGCAAAAACGCACGGATCAGGCGATATCGAGGAAAAACCAATTACAAATTTTAATCTTTTATTTTTGGGATTTTTAATTAAAAAAATACAAGAAATTCCATATCTTTTTTTTTAGCCGTTAGAATTTTTCAAAAAACGTCTCAAAACGTTCGCCTCGACGAGAGGGCGAACTTTGCTCTCCACGCGGCTCGCTGGAAAACGCACGGATCGGGAGATATATAAAAAAAACTAAATAAAATGATTATAAAAGATAAAATTAATCAAGAAAACAAGCTAATTAGTGTTTGACTAATCAGCCCGTGCACCCCCGTTGGTTGGGGAAGGCCGCGGCCTTAGGGGTGCTGCTCCCCTCCCCGGCAACGGCGCCAAAGTTATGAGGGAACCCAGGGAAGGGTCGCCTACCGATCGCCGAAGCCAAGGGCAACGACGCCTGTCAATCGCCACGCCCGTCTCCGAGGTCCTCGGCGATCAGCAGGGTGATGGCCTCAGCACTCACCTGCTGCATGGTCATTATAAGTTTCATGTCTGAAGACTCTCGCTGCCTGTAGGATTATAATGAGATTAATTAATCAGAAATATTCGTCGTTCTTCGGGCTCGCCTTTAGCGGTAGGGCCCCCCAACCCCCGTCACTCTTTCTCCGTCTCATCAGCCTCACATACTCTAGCGGTTCAACAGGGCTCATACGCCCAGTTCGCTGTAACAGACTCAAAAGTTCCCAAGCGTTCTCAGGCTTAACCAGGTATCCCCGTACTACTTCAAAAGAAGAGATTAAATAAATTATACTTTAAATGAGTAACAAATAAAAATAATTTCACTTGAAATGTCCTCTCCCGCTGGCAGCGGGTTGCCTGATTTGCAGTTCACTTGAAATACCCTCCCCCGCTGGCAGCGATTTACCTAATTGGCACTTCACCTCGAAATGTACTCGCCCACTGGCAGCGGGTTGCCTGATTAGCGGTTCACTTGAAGTGTACTCTCTCGCTGGCCGCGGGTTATCTCATTCGCAGTTCACTAGAAATGTGCTCCCCAGCCAGCTGTGGGTTGGCCAATTGGCAGATCACGAGAGAT